CAGCAGATAGTAGCTTTGATTCAGCTTTAGCATAAAATGCTTCTTACCACTATGGGCATGTATAAGAAATTGCATTCCTCAAATTGTGGTGAGGAGGTATAAACCAAGTTCTCTGGAATGTTGAAAGCCTAAGATAAAAATGTAAACCGAGTCCTATTTTTAAATCATTAATTGCTCATTTTTCCCTAAAAAATCTGAGCTAAGAAAGAACACTGTACAAGAAGTAACAAGTGTCAACTTTTATAACTTTGTGGTATGATCTTTGAGTGTCACCCCGTTCATCTTGCGCAAGTCCTTTGTGGTGTATTAGAGGAGAGAGGTCCTTCCTGTCTCATTTCCCATTTTGTGTCCTCGGTTTGAAGGGATGAATCACTGTCTCCAGAGGTTGTAGCCTCTAACTCTTTTCTGTGCAGTTAAAGTACAGAAATGTGCTAGTACCATTTGCTACATGCCAAGGAGAATTCTCTCTTAATTGGCCTTCTACCGTACATCCAAGTGTGTCCCTTACTAATAATAATGAGAACAATAACTGCTGTACATTGGAGAAGCCTACATGATAAGGATTCTGCTTCACAATTTATAAACATTGCTAGTAATCTTTACTAAACTTAAGGAACAGCTTTATTTTCCCTATTATACAGATGAGAAACTAATACCATATATGTAGTAAGTGGAAGAGTGAGGATTCGAACTCAGATTGTGTGACTCCAAGTCTCTGTTTGTGCTTTCTTAGTTACTATGCTAAACTCCTTACTGATATATAAACCCAAGTAAAGACTCTGTTCTAGGCTTTCCTTGAGCTAGTTTTCTAAGGGCTCTAAAAGGCAAATCTGAAACAAGAGATCATTTTATCAAAGCAATTTTCATTTCCTAAAAAAATTGTTAAGTTTTCTATATGCCTTTAAAGTTTACAGATTTTTCTATTTGCTTAAAATTTGTGTATCAGAGTAGTGAAGAAAGTTAGAGTAGGAATTCTAAGTGTAATTTTGAGGTCTTCTCTATTGCAAGTGGATTCTGGTATTTATGTTTTTCCCATCTAGGTTTTGTCTTATAAGTGTATTCAGCATTTTAGTTTACTAGAATAGCAGTATACAGTATTTTGGTAATTCTGTATTTTGATGTTTAAAGCACGGTCTATGGTCATTTAAACAATAGATCACCTTCGCATTCTGAAGTCCTAATAAAGCTGAGAGACCTGGCACTGTCATGCCACTTAACACACGCAAATATTGAGGCTCTGCTCAGCTGGCTAGTAAGTGACAGCACAGACACTTTGGCTCTCTTATTCTTCCCGGTGTACTAATTTTCTAATGGCATGCCTTTTTTTTGGATTAGTGCCTTTAATTTTTTACATGTTTGCAGCATGAATTAACAACACAGTTATTTTCTTTTTTTTTTTTTTTTTTCGTTTTGTTTTTTGTTTTTTGTTTTTTGTTTTTCTCCGGTACCGGGAACCGAACTCACGACCTTGTGCTTGCCAGGCAGAACACAGTTATTTTCTTCTGGAATCTGTGTGCTTTATTATTTTTTTCCTTTTAGTCTTACGAGTTTTTCCCCCCCTTTGGTATTAGTGGGATAAAGATACTATAAAAGTTCATAAATGGTGCTGAGACGGCTGGATCACCAAATGGAAAAAGGAATAGTTAGCTGTACATTTTATAACATGCATAGGAATAAATCCCAAGTGGAATAAGAACTTAAATTTTAGAAAAATGAAACCCACACAAGCACACACACACACACAAATCCTTTGTTATCACAGGGAAAAACAGATTTTTTTTTTAAAACCTAGAAAAATAGATTGACAAATTTTACAAACAGAATTTAAATATTTTGCATGACAAAAAACACCACAAAGTCAAATGACACATTCACAAGCTAGGAGAAAATATTTATCACGTATACCACAGATATGGGGCTATCGTCCTAAGAAATAAAGGCCCCACATACCAAAAACCTGATAGGAAAATGGAGAAAAGACTTGTATAAATAGTTCACAAAAAAAATCTGTATAAAAATGCCCTTCAGACATACTTTTAAGTGTTCACTTAGAGTAATGCCAATGAAAACAATGCCGAGTTATTACTTACCTACCAGAATAGCAAAAATAAATTTAAAGTATAACAGCGTATTCTGGTTCCTGGAGGAAGCAGGTGTTCTCGCACATAGCTGGTAGGGATGAAGGCTCACTTCTAGGAATGTATGCCGAAGACACACCTCCAAGGAGAGAAATATCTCCATGCACAGGTTTTAGTATGCATGTTTCCTGGGTACCAGAGCCCTGAAGTGATGACACCCAGCACTGCCGGGCACGTCTAGCTCTCAAATCATGGTTTTTAAACATCATACTCCAGCAAAAGGAACTAAGGTTCCTTAGAGAAGTCACTGATGTCAAGGCTTTGACGGAGAAACTGTAAGCTGAGAGTGCAACGTATTTTTGTACGAGAAAGTCTGGACATAGTCAAAAAAGGGTGACGACTGGTTGGGAGAGCACAGTAGCCAACCCAGAGTTGTTCCTAATTGCCAAAGCAAACATTTTACCAGCAAGGCAAGTGACACTAGTATCTAGTTTTTAACCCTTTATAATAAAATAAATATCCATGAATCACATTAACATAAAAATCAAATAAATGACAGAGAATGAATAGCTCTTCCTTACAGAAGAATTCCATAGAATAAATGTAGCCAGAAAAATGAAAATAGAAAATCACTATTAGATAAGTACTCAGAGTGTAGACAGGCTCCAGGAATGAGGCCTAAAATCAGTGGAGAAAATTTTGAGGAAGAACAGGATATTTATGTAGTCTTGGGGGTGGAGTCATCCACAGGCGTGGCCTGGGGCGCGGAAGTGTGCTTACAGATGCTCCCACACAGGCTGCGGGGCTGCCCTGGTGACAAGGGACTCCTCTTGCTCCAGGATGGGTGACCCCAGAGAGAGAAAGGAGGACACCACAGTGCCTTTTGTGACTTAGCCTTTGCAAGCACACCCCTCGCTTCTGCTTCCTTTGGTTAGATACTTGTAAAACCACGGCACAGGGAACTCTCCAGCCGGCAGCCCCCTACTCCCCCTACCTCCCAGAGAGCTGCCACTTCACCTTTTGTTGCCTGTTCTTTTGCTCCTAGTCTTAGCTTCTTTTAATTATTTTCTCCAGTGCTAGTCCCAGGAAGGGTTGTTGTAACAGGACCAGGAGGGGATGAGGTTAACTCTTCCCTGTCTGCTCCCCCGGGTGTCCTTCCCCACCTCAGTCTTGTATTCCCCTCCTCTCACTTTGTGGAGGACCCATCTGTGAGCTGTAGACTTCACACAAGCCTCTAATAGCAATGATCATATCGTATTGCAGTCATCACTTTTCATGTCTGTGTTCCCATCCATTAAAGCGGTGCTCATATCTGTAATCCCAAGGCCTAGCATAGTGTCTAAAAGGACCTTAATGGGTAAATGGCTTATCTTTGGGATTGTAAGTGTATCAAAGAACCTCCTCACTTAATCAATGTTTGAGCTTTTGTCTTTCCGAGACCGTGGAAAGTCTAGGAAGAAGAGATCTCTTTCAGCCTGTTTCCTATGTTTACAAGTGGGACTCCAGACGACTTTTCACAGATGATGCTCTTGCTTTCCGAAGGAGAGCATCAGCAAGGCTGCCCAGAGCTCTGCTGGATGCCTCTGTGGTGGTAAAGACAAACAGCCCTGTTCAGGGAGTGCTAGGAGTGGAAACCAGAGTTGGCCACAAATGGTGGCGCGTATGAGTAGGGATGATCTGGACTCTTGGTCTGTGTGTCTTACTGGTTGGAGATGGCCCTTGGGATGTGGAGGTGCATTTCCTTTCTGAGCTTCCAACCTTTACCCCACCCCCGTTGCCCTGCCACATCTGGGAAGTACATACCTGGGTTCTGGCGTCCTGTTCCTGTTGCAGATCTGTCTCCCCTTTTCTCATCCAACCCCTGCTCACTGACACATGGTATTATCAGCCCCGTCTTCATGCCTCTGTGGGGCAGAGGTTGGCCTGTGCTTCACTTGTTCCTTACCCTGTAGCTACAAGGCAGCTAGGTCCAGTCCCACATCTGCTCGGCTCCTAAAACTGTAGTCCTCCCTCGCCTGCTTCCAGTCTTTCTGCCCGCTAGAGATGAGACATAGGAAATCTTGATATATGGATTTTTTTTTTTAAAGAAAAAATTCAGTGACACTTTAAAGCACAGGAAGGTTGACTTTATTAACCACCATTGAAATAGGTACAGAAACCCCTGCAATGGAATCTTGTAGTAGGGGAGAGAGATTGGGTCAACTCAGAATACAGGATGAGCAAATGGGAATTAGAGCAGGCTGGTGGGAGTCGATGGGTGGAAAATTACTAAGAGGGTAATGGGAATTCCAGCTTAACTAACCTAACAAGATTCCTGCTGCAGACGGGCCAAGGTGATCAGACTTCACCGAAGAGACGGTGAAGGATGAAGAGCCTAATCACATAATGAGCTGCAGGGAAGGGAGTTTCTTGCTAAACTGACGTAGCAAAGTTCTTTGTTAAAGCCGGATTTTACAAGGAAATACGCAGATGAACCTGCCAGGAGGTTCAGGGGCCTGACTAAGTTTGGCCAAGGAATGAATTGTCACCAAAAGGCAGAAGTGGGCTTGGATATGCTGAGCTGTCAAGTTATTTTGTGTAACATTTTCTATGTCGAAAAACGAAAATAAATCACCTACAGCAAACTTCTCCATAACTTAAAATCGCCTATAAAATACCAAGGAATCTTTATGTGGAAAGATAATATTCTAATCCCAGCTATTTCATCTTCAGTCTAAGAATCCAAAGTCTAGGTTGGTTAAGTAGCTTTTCTGCAGCTCCATTTTCTGAAGCACAATCCACTATTGCAGCTGACATCATCTCACAGTCAGAATTGAAGCTACAATATTTTTTCTTCCAGAATAGAAATTTTTGAATACATGACATTTCACATCATCATGGCACCTGTTAAAAGGAATTACAGCCCTTTCCTTTCTATTCCAGATCTAGGTCGATCTCGAGAACTACAGTACGTGTACGTGGATAACAACATTCACCTGAAAGGGCTGCCGTCATACCTATACAACAAAGTCATCGGGTGCAGTGGGTAAGGCTGACTTCACATTTTAGACTTACAAAGAATTGGACTATTATTGCTACTTCTGTTCAGTTTTATGTGTGGCCTTGACATGCTAAACCAACTATCCTTAAGAACTAAGGTTATGAGCAGGAAATGTAGAATATTGCGTGCTGGACTCAGTGAGAGAGCTGTGGATTCCATCAGCACATTCTTTATTTTTTTCTAATCAAGGGAAAAATGAATTCACACGTACTTATTTTTCTGCTGTGGAAATGAACAGCTTTATTTTTCAAGCGTTATTGAGGTATACTTGACAGATAAAATTGTATATATTTGTTCATGATGTTATGATTTGAAACACTGATACACTGTCACATTTGCCATTCTGAATGCACTGTTATCAGTCACAGAACATGGAGGAACCAGCTTTTCTCTGAACTCACCCATAATGACTATTTCCCCACAGTAGCAGCCCGAGTAGCTAGGATTGTGCCAGTTGGAAATATTTAAAATTCAACATTCGAGATAGTCGCTCGATACAAATCATGATTCTAGTAACCAAAACAGATACGTCAGTCAATAGGAAATGATGGTCTATTATTTTCAGAGCAGCACTAATCTGTCCTTCTTAGGCTTTTAGAAAGATGGCGTCAGCTTCTCGTTCGACAGCAGGCTGACAGAACCACCTTCCAGTGTGGTTCTCAGGGGGCTCTGAGATGAGGAGACAAGCTTCCCCCTCAGAACCTGCGTTTGACTGGCCTTGCTCGCCCCACTCCAGGGCCCAGGCATCATCTTTGAGACGCCTCAGCGTTGGACTCTTCTTCACCCCCAGCATCTTGCATAACTTGGCCCAGGCTCCTTAGTTCTGCAAGAACTGGGATGGCAGTAAGCGCATGCATTGAGGACAGCTATTCCCCTGCTGGCCTGGCTCCAGGGCACGGGCAGAGAGCCACGAATGCTCCAGAGAGGCAGTCCTAGGAACAGTGGCCTTCCCTTAGGAAAAATTAGACATGTGTTACCTGGGGAAAGCCCTCTATGAGTTCAGTGTCTATGCAGCTGATGAAATCCGAGCTCAGAGATTTCTTCCAGAACCTTCTGTGAAGCAGTGGTGGTAGGATGTGTGGTAGCGTTTTCAGCTCCGTGGTTTTTTGACAGCTGATTTTGTCACAGCTGTGGTCCCACCCAGTCCTTAATTCCAGTGCATTTTTAAAGCATTTTCACTGTAGCCCAAGTCTTCCAAGTGGCGAGCAGAGTGTTCTCAGTCATTTTGATGCACAAGATGGCAAAGCTGAAGGCACTTTCCCCACACCAGAGTCCTCTGAGACTGCTCTGAATTGTGATTTAAGTTTCCACTACAGTTAAGGAATCACTTTTATTTGAGATAGAGAGCCTTCTGCTTTGGTGTTTATATATGAATTTTTTGTTTCGCTTTGTTTTGTTTTTTGAGACAGGGTCTCGTTCTGTAGTTCAGGCTGGCCTTGAACTCATTATGTAGCCCAGACTGCCCTCAAACTCATGGCAGTCTTCCTGCCTCAGCCTCCTGAGTGCTGGGATTAGGCATGCACCACTGCTGGGTTTTTATATGGATGTTATTGACTACCAGACAGTTCTGTTTGTGCCGAGAAGAAAGATAGTTTTTCATCTTTGAGTTGGTGTCTGGTGGCAGTTGTATTGAATTTCATAGAAGCTCCAAATCTTTGAGGAAATAAATAGTATGGGAAAATATACAAAGTATTAGTTAATAGTTTGTGCTTTTATGATTAAGAGCTTATTTTGTTAATAGTAGAAAATTATGAAGAGAGTATGAAATAACCAGTTTTCTAATATTAGTAGCCTCTCTTGCAAATAGAATCTGATCCAAAAGGCACTTTTAGTCTGTTGGTTTAAGTCAAAACTCAGGATGCATTTTTAATTCCATTCATTACATTCCTAAGCGAGCCCATTATAAGGTTCTTGAACCTATTTTGTACTCCAAAAGTGATACTTCTTCAATAGCATTTTTATGGAAAATATATACAGGACTTTCATGGTAATGCAGAATGAAGCCCTGGTGAAAAAGTTAAAGTCCCTCCTGTCCTTTTGTCTGTCTGTTGAGTACACGAAAAAGGACACCCGCCATGCCAAGTCACAGTGACAGCGCTTCCTGCCTCAGCCCAGGGCAGAGGAGAGGGAAGGAGTAGGACAGCCTCCTGAGGAAAGCACAATAAAAGGGTAATGAGCGTATTGGAGGCCTAGAAAGTGCACTTCTTGAGTCTGACCCTTGCTTCAGTTGTTTATTCAATGAGCATTTATGGAGCAGCTCCTCTCTGTGGTCACAGCTGGACGATAGCCGAACAGTGACGGGCAAAGCCATGCAGCACCTGCCCTTGGACGTCCTTGTCTAGCGCGGGGCACCAGGAACAATAAGTAACGGACGAAACTGAACCTGAAGGTTTGGTTCACTTGATTCTCCCCTGTGAGTGATGTTACCTCTAGCTCAGATGGAAGCCCAGCTTCACCGAGGCAAGTGCCGTGTCCTGCGCAGCACCAGGCTCCAAGGGAACTGAGCAACAGCAGTGCAAAAGGAGTCAGGTTTAGGGAGTGTAGGACAATATGTCAAGTCTGCTATACGTGCTTTATGTGTGTATGTGTGTGTGTTATCTATATAGGTTTCATATATATAAATTAATATCTCAGAGGGAGAATAGAGAAGAGAATTGTGCATAAATGTATGATAGACACTTAAAAATCAACTAACAAGGGATGTACAGTTTTAAGAAATTTCAGAAGTCTCACAAAATTATCTTAGATGTTCATGAAAACCTGAACAAAATTAGCTCCTGCTATTGTATGTTTATTTGTTAGTTATTGAGCCCTAGCCAGCAACTCAACACTGTGCTAGGAGTTACCAAAAAACAAAGATGATTTACGTGTTTATCCGGACAAAAATAACCAATACAAGCAATGACCCCCCGAAGAGGGGTGCAGAGAGAGAAGTGTAGAGCAGGGGAGGGACTTCTGTGGCCTAGTTGGAAGCCACACGCCATCCTCTCGGTCCAGACCACTGGTCACGCAGGTCAGCCCTCTTGGTCGCCACTTGGGGAGGCACTCAGAACCCACTTGCAGGGCTGGGCGTGGCAGCAGATGCCTGTAATCCCAGCGCTCTGGAAGCTGAGGCAGGAGGATCGTTGCGGGTTCGAGGCCAGCTTGGGCTAAAAAGTGAGTTCAAGCCAGCCTGGACTTCAATAAAAAAAAAAAAAAAAAAAGAACCCACTTGCAGACTGGCCATCACAGCTTTCTTGCATCGGTACGCTTTGCTAGCTTCGTGGAATTCTTCGTGATTTTCTGTGTGTTTTGCCACAGGAGTAAATGTCTTGAGCTCTGATACATTATGCCCAGAAAGAGAAGTCTGTCCCATGTCAGAATTTCAGAGAGAGGTGCTCAGCATATCTGTGTACTCAGAAGAACTTAATTGTAAAAGGGATCCCGCACCAGTTATTTCTCCAGTTACCTGATTATAAGAGGGGAGAAAAAACAAACACTTACATTGCTTTTTTTATTGTGTAAATGAGCAAGTTATAGCAAGATTTGGGAGCAGTTGGTTAAGTGACTTTCTAATGGTTTGTGAATATAACCATGCAAGATAATAGAATTGTTTGTATGGGAAATGCATTCTGCGTTCTGAGTTAAACCAGTAGACTAAAAATGACCTTTAGATCCCAGTCCATGTAGGGGGTTCAGGGTAGAAACTGTCCATCCACAAAAATAATCAGTGTTGGGTATCTGCACCACTTCCTGGGGGCAGGTGCAGAGTAACCTGGCTGCATGTATAACAGAGCTGAAGGGGTTTGAGCTGTTACTCAAGAGACAAAGTTTGCAGTTTTACTTCAACAGTTGCTAAAACAAAAGTATGAACACTTCCTTTTGAGTGTTTGAGGAGTACAACAGCATCCTTCATCTCCACAGTATCATTTTCACAATGTCCAGGATGCAGACCCCTCCCATTATGTGACATTTAGGGAGAAAGAGAGAGAGAGAGAAGAAAGAAAAAGAGAAAGAGAGAGAGAGAGAGGAAAAGGAATATGCACCCCCACTCACAAGAGAAATGATCAGCAGAGACTAACCTGAGATGACCCAAAGTGTTGGAACTAGAAAGCAAGGCTGTTTGAGATAGGGGTGGGTGGGTTGTTTGTTTGTTTTGGAGACAATTCGACAGCACAGCTCAGGCCGTCTTACGACACATCCTCCAGCCTCGGCCTCTAGAACGCTGGGACTGCAGGCACGTACCACCACATCTGGCTCAAGACAAAAATTTAAAACTTAAGACTTTATCATACCTTTTCTCAGTGGGAAACATAGGTTTTAATGAGTTAAAGGACCAAAACAAAGAAACTTTAAAGAAGAAACAAAAAGAAAGTTTAGAATTGAGAAATACAATATCTGAAGTAAAACAATTGTTTGATGGGCTTCATGGGGTAAATGGAAAGTCAGTGAACTGGGAAGTAAACCAGCAGAGATGATCCAATCTGAAGGACGCAGAGAAAGATAAATAATAAAGATGAATGCAATGTCCAGGTCCTGCCACACAATATAAAAAAGACCGATACATGTGCGATTGGCGTCCCATAAGAATAGAGACTGAGACAGTGATAACCAATGTTTGAAGAAATAATACGTCAGCTTTTCCCACATTTGATGTGAGACATAAATTTACATTTCCAAGGAGCTCAGTGAACCCTGAGCAGTATAAACACAAAACGCTCCCCGGTAAAGCTGCCGAAAACCAAAGAATAAAAGGAAATGTTGAAAGAAAAATGACTTACTACTTACAGAGAAGCAACTTGAAAGCCCGCTAACCTCATCAGAAGCCACAGAGGCCGGAAAACAACTGAACAGCGTTTCTTAAGAGCCAAAGCAAAATACAGTCAAAGTAGAATTCTGTCTCCAGGAAAATATCCTTCAAGAGTAAAGGCAAAACAAATGCATTCTAAAGAGAATAAAATTGAGCTTCAAGAAACTCTGCTCCGTTGAGACCCGTCATACAGGAC